TAAACAGGGGTGGAGGCCTCCGGGTTCAACTGTCCCCCTCTTACAATACTGTTATTGCTAGTATCACTCAGCCCTCTGTGAATAGTAAACAACCATCAGGTGCTAATGATCCATTGTTAGGCTGATGGTCCTTCTTGATCATGTGATCAGCTGGTTTTGGTTGTCAGCAGCAAAACTGGTTGATCCACTCTGAGAATGTGCTATTTAAGAGACTGAGCTGAATACAGCACCTCAGACTGAAGAAGTCTTTTGGATGAAAGATGAAACGTTTCTACAATTTTATTATTTTATTTTATTTTTTTGATGTCCAGAAGACCAGATTTAACTTTATTAGATTTTTCTACCTGGATTATTGAGAATGCATCACGATAAATATATTACTTGTTTTGTGTCTACCCCAGGTGTACCCGGTCCCCCTGGCATTGGGAAAGATGGTAAAAATGGAGAACGTGGTGAGACAGGAAGTCCTGGCATCCCAGGACCTGCTGGTCCAAGGGGTCTCTCTGGACAGCCGGGCCTTTGTGACCCATCAACCTGTATAAACAGACATCCACCTCTGTATATGATCAGTGGAAAGAAATCTTCTACTTACAAATGAGGCATCTGAAAACAGAGACCCTCTTCATACCTCATCCTGCCAGTGAACATGTTTTATGGCTATTTTTGTAATTCTGAGCATGGTGGTCTTCACCTGTTACACAAATAGAAGAGACTTAAAGGGCAACAGAAATGGCACAACTGTACAGAACCGTAAGAACCTGTTTTCAGAAAGAGCAAAGATGTTGTTCAAAGATCACTGCTACAGATGCCGAGCAGCATCTTGGACTGACAACAGGTCTGCCGGCCCATGAGGTGTCTGTCAGGAAAATTACAAATTATAACTGCCGACCACTGCCCATCCCCCAGTCATTAACCCATTCAGTAATGACGTTTCAAAGCATGTTAAAATTTCTCATGTCCTCCCACATGTATGTGTTCACTCTTTGAGTAAGCTCAGTGAAAATGTCATTTCAACACTTATTTTACCTAATTCAATGAAAAGTTTAACCAGGAATGAATCATACTCAACTTGGTAACAACATCAATCATGCGAGTCAAATTTGGTGGAACTGAGTGACAGCTAGCATCAGACCTGAGCTTACATCGTCAACAAAGTGCTTTTTAATACCAAGTTCTGTCAACCTTGTTCCAATACTGAAATAAAGGGTTTTGTTTTGGATGTGTTGCACTGATTGAACAACTTTCTTCTGTTAAGGAGACCTAGAGATTTTGTTCTTAGCAGGGAAAAGGTGTTGCATGGCGCAATTTTTTTTGTTTGTTTTTTTGTCCATGAATATAAATTACACAAATTACACAAAACATCACTTAGCTGAGTGCTGTTTGTCAGCAATTATTTTTAACCCAGATTCATAAATCGGAGGGCGGCTGTGGCTGAGTGGTTAGAGCAGTTGTTCTCCAATGCAAGAGTTGGGGGTTCGAATCCACCAGCAGTCACATTCCGAAGTGTCCCTGGGCAAGACACTGAACCCCTCATAGCCTCTGATGTGTGTCCATCAGTGTATGAATGTGATAAAGCTCTGATTAGTCTCTTTAGAATGATTTGTTCAATTAACTTTGTAGAGATCTAGTATAGAGCTGTATGAATGGGTAAATGAGGACACAGATTGTAATGTAATGCACTTTGAGTATCTTGATCAGATAGAAAGGCGCTATATAAGTACAGTCCATAAAACATCTGGGGAGTGGTGGTGCAGAGGTTAGAGAAGGTGGGCCTGTGATCGGAAGATCGTCGGTTCAACTCCCGGTACAGATAACATCAAAATGTGGGTGGGATAGATGAAGCACCCACATCTGCCTCCACCCTCATTCGTCCCACTCTGGGCCCTTGAGCAAGGCCCTTAACCCCCACCATCTGCTCCCCCAGGTTCCCTAGATAGCAGCTCTCTGCTCCACACAGAGGCTGTGGTAGCTCAGTGGTCTGTGGTTGCGTCATGAAGGACGTCTGGTGTAAAAATAATTGCCAAGTTTTCGTGCAACTTAGTTCACTGTGGTGACCCCTGAAGCAGGGAGCAGCCGAAAGAAGAAAATAAAATTATATAAACACTCTCAACTATTTGTTTTAGTCAAACATTTGAGCCGACACACACATGCTGTCCTGAATTATAAACTTGAAAATAAATATATAAATACACCTTCAAACATCCATCCATCCATCCATTATCTTTACCCGTTTATTCCATTTTGGGTCACGGGGGTCGCTGGTGCCCATGTCCAGCAATCACTGTGCGAGGGGCGGGGTACACCCTGGACGGGTCGCAAGTCCATCACAGGGCCATATAGAGACAAACGAGACAAACAACCATTCACTCTCTCACTCACACCTAGGGACAATTTAGAGTTACCAATCAGCCTAACATGCATGTTTTTGGTTTGTGGGAGGAAACCGGAGCACCCGGAGAAAACCCACGCATGCACGGAGAGAACATGCAAACTCCACCCAGAAGGCCCCTGGACCGGGGTTTGAACCAAGGACCTGCTTGCTGAGAGGCAGCAGCTCTACCAGTTGCGCCACCGTGCTGCTCCTTCAAACATTATTTCAGTAAATCTTTTCTCCCCTTTAAAACCCAATTGGGTTTGCAGGTATTGTTGGAAACCTTATCAGACACCTTAAAAGCACATTTAACTTGTTAGGATTATGTATTTGGTAAATAAGTAAAAAGTTTAACAAGTGGTTAGCACCCCCCCCCCCCCCCCCCACACACACACACACACACACCCCAAAAGTGCCCAAATTACCTGCAATAGTCTTTGTTGGCATTTACTCTCATTTTTTTAGTTGCTTGATGAATTGAATGATTGCACTGTTCCATGGCAGTAAGGTCAACCCAAGCAACAGTTGTGATTTTTACACTATATTCACTGCTGTATACACAATCAGAGAACCTCGGAAACTTGTGGAAGAGACAGTCTGGTCACATTTTGCTGTTAGATGGTATGTTGTTTGTTTATGAAGAACAAAATCGGTGACTCCAGTTGGATTTTCATGATTGTTATTTTACTTGCTAGTCACCAAACATTGTACTTTTATCATACACTTTGTGCCACACCATTTTGTCTGGTTCCCTTACTACTTCCTGTCTGCCAAACTGCAGTATTGACACATGGTGGTAACCATATTTACACCTGATTATGGCATCCTCCTTTCCTTAAAATGAAAATAAAATCCACACTGAATTTTTAACAATGCAACAAATAACATTTTCAAGATTATCAAAACCAGTTTAACATATTGTACAAATAATTTATCATCATCTATTTAAATACATTCCATCATCAAAATACAAACAGTGGATTTCACAAATTGAAAAACACAAAGTCAAAGATTTAATCCATCAGGTTTTTGGTTACATTTGCGGATCTTCTCATTACATGCTCCGATGGAACATTAACATAATTAATCTCAACAAGTTGTGGAATAATGGTTTAGATTTATCATCACATAAAGTGGGTTGTTGCAATGTGAAGAAGACGTAGGAGATGGTCATGGATTTCAGTCGGAACTTTCCTACCCCCTTAGGAGGATCTGTGGTGGAAGTAATCTCCAGCTACAAGTACTAGGGTGTGCACCTGAATGACAACCTCATTTGGGGCAACAACACCACCAGCCTGATCAAGAAAGCTCATCAGAGACTCTACTTCCTCAGGCGGCTGAGACGAGCTGGACTGGGAAGCTCAGTCCTCACCTCCTTCTACAGGTGTGCAGTGGAGAGCATCCTGTGCTCCAGCATCAACGTGTGGCATGGAGGCTGCACAGCTGCAGAAAGAAAAGCTTTGCAGAGAGTGGTGAAGGCTGCACAGAAGATGTTGGAGTCAGCCTCCCCACCCTCACAATCATCTACACCTCCAGGAATAGGGCCACTTGCATCATGAAGGACCTCACTCACCCAGCATACACACTTTTTGCCCCACTCCCCTCAGGAAGGAGGTTAAGGAGCATTAAGTGTTGAACCACTAGACTGAGGAACATCTTCTACCCTGAAGCTGTTAGACTCATGAGTATCTAATCAGGATAATCACTGTGAGAAAAAAAAATCACTGTAATGTCACTTGATTTTTGATATGTGCTGCTGATTATCCATGCTGCTGATCTCATGCTGCTGATTACTTCATGCTGCTGTATTCATTCTTACTCATCTACTCACACAGACTCATTTTCATGCTGCTTTTTGTTCGGCGTATTGTTTTGCACTATTAGACTTTAGTGTAGTTCTTAGTATATATTTTATATCCTTATTACTGTTTCTTTTATAGGCAGCACAGTGGCACAACTGGTAGAGCTTCTGCCTCTCAGCGAGAAGGTTGCTGGTTCAAATTCCAGTCTGGGGGCCTTTCTGGGTGGAGTTTGCATGTTCTCTTCATGCATGCAGTACTCTAGTTTCCTCCCACAGACCAAAAACATGCATGTTAGGCTGATTGGTAACTCTAAATTCTAGGTGTGAGTGAGAGAGTGAATGGTTGTTTGTCTCATTTGTCTCTATGTGGTCCTGTGATGGACTGGAGACATGTCCAGGATGTACCCCACCCCTCACACAGTGATTGCTGGACATGGGCACTGGCAACACTGGTGACCCAAAATCGAAGAAGCAGATAAAAAAGATAATGGATGGATGGATGTTTCTTTTACAATTTATATTTTTGCTACTGGGCAGCACGGTGGCGCAACTGGTAGAGCTGCTGCCTCCCAGCGAGCAGGTCCCTGGTTCAAACCCCGGTCCAGGGGCCTTTCTGGGTGGAGTTTGCATGTTCTCTCCGTGCATGCGTGGGTTTTCTCCAGGTACTCCGGTTTCCTCCCACAGACCAAAAACATGCATGTTAGGCTGATTGGTAACTCTAAATTGTCCCTAGGTGTGAGTGAGAGTGAATGGTTGTTTGTCTCGTTTGTCTCTATGTGGCCCTGTGATGGACTTGCGACCCGTCCAGGGTGTACCCCGCCCCTCGCACAGTGATTGCTGGACATGGGCACCAGCAACCCCCGTGACCCAAAATGGAATAAGCGGGTAAAGAAAATGGATGGATGGATGGATTTTTGCTACTGTTGGATGTACCTGGGACCCTGTGTTCACAATTTTGTTCCTTCTCAATTACCACATGAGATTCGAATGACAATAAAGAACTTTGAACCTTGAACCTTGAACCTTGAACCGTGTTCAATAATGGATGTTTCACTGGATTGTTCGAAAGATTCTGGTGTTTTAAGAAGACTGTACCGATTTCTTCTGAGAATATGTCCTTCCTCTGTTCTACCAGGAATGATTGAGGACCATCATTTTTAGGAACAGTAGCTTTGATTCTTCATCCCTCAGGATCTACAATTCTGATTATCATCCTGTAACGAAGGTGGATACTCCTGAAGCATGCTCAATAATCCAGGTAGAAAAATCTAAAAAAGTTAAATCTGGTCCTCTGGACATTCAAAAAAACAAAACAAAGCAAAACAACAAAAAATGTAGAAACGTTTCGTCTCTCATCCGAGAGACCCTCAGTCTGAGGTGCTGTATTCAGCTCAGTCTCTTAAATACACCACTCTGAGCAGCAGGACCACACTTTCCACAGAACAACTGTGTCAACTCTTGAAACTGTGCCTGCAGTCAACCTACTTCACAAATGGGGAGCAATATTATAGGCAGAAACATGGGTGTGCTATGGGGTCTCCAGTTTCTCCTATTGTTGCCAACCTGTACATGGAGGAGGTAGAAAAGAGAGCCTTGACGTCCTTTTCAGGGACACCACCAAGTCATTGGTTCAGGTATGTTGACGACACCTGGGTTAAAATTAAATCTCAGCAAGTCCAACATTTTACTGACCACATCAACTCTGTGGATAAATACATCAAGTTCA